GAACTAATGTACATAAACGGACCAACTTAGTAACTTGAAAAAAAAAATTCCATACAAAATGTTACACAGCTGATTAACACTTATTGTGTGGAGACAATTTTTTTTAACAAACTACGCATTTAAATAATAATAAGGTTCACGCAAAAATACATGGATTTACGGTACTTAAAAGGAGTCTTTTTATCACTGCGTGTAGAAAAAGGGTAATGCTTGTTAAAGCAATATACTACACGTACGTGCTACTACTAAATTGTATTGATATTTAACCATGACCCATCCCTAACTGCAACTGTTAGGAACAGGTGTGTAGCATACCATCACGCGCACGACAAATTCGTCCCATCACTTGATATTTAAAAAAAACATTAAAACACTTTTAAAACAATACATAGAAAAAACATCAGTAAATCTTCATTCCAAAGACAACTGTACACAGCATTCGAAACAACTAAATATGAATGGTGTCATTTTGTAATTGAAAAAAAAAGGAAAAGAAAAGAAAAATTATTTCAAGTATAAAACTAAAATGTGTAGAAGAATTCCTTGGTTATTTTAATTAAATAAATAAACAACGTGTCACGTGGAATAATGCAAAAGCGTACTCGTATGGCAAACCCATGGCATTCGGTTGCAACAATTCGCCTGAAATATCCGCGGACTTCGCCTTCTTCTTTATTGAACTATTCGCCATAGCTATCACAAAAACAAAATGGCCGAAAGATTCTTATTTGCTTATTTTTAATATCTGACACATTTTTATGCTGACCATATCGACGTTTTCAGAGTGTCATTTTATGACTTAACCATATCCACAGTTCTCAAGGGTCCATATAGGAAGAAGCCGATCGGCTTGTTTTTTTAAGTACTTTGTTAATCTAGGCATAAAATGGAGCTATTTTCCGAATAATGATTTGGATGGATAAATATTTTAATTAAGTTACTAGTACTTTGTGGTTTTAATTAATTACATACTAATGAAACTTCTTGAATAATTATTTCATAGTTTAAGAACAGAATATGCAAATTTATTTAATGTACTTCAATAATATTTACAAATTTCAATGTTTAATAACTGTTAAAATAAACATGTATGAAAGTTTGAATTCAAAACTACGTACTTCATTGTTGTTGTGTTTTGATATCCATGTGAACTTTATAGAGCTGTATAACAATTTCCCTTTTTATAAAAATAACATTTACTCCTTGACAATATGACAAGTTAACAAAACGAACAAATAATTATAGTCTTGTCTATACAAAGATCGAGCACTCAGAAAAAGTCCTTCGATCCATCCGGATTCGAACCGACGCGCGACGTCATCTAGCATACCGAGCCAGACGCTATACCAAATAAGCCACGGAACGAGCCAGCGGACCTCACGAAATTTTTCTATGTACTTGCGTCGTATCTTCGTATTTGGTTTTTCAACGACTTTTTACCCTTTTTTTTTAATTTTTTTCTGAGTGTCTGATCTGAATTTCACATAAAAATATTTGAATTACAATTCAATAAAAAATTGAATTATACTCTCCTTTTCATTATTTTTTTTTATGATATCAAGTAACGGGACGGACAAATTGAGCGCGATAGCACGATAAGACGCGACTTGCGCGAGAGCGACATAAAGCGTGAAGAGGCATATTGTAGGCAGGCAGGGTGGAGGTGGCTAGTGCAGTGAGGGTTTCATCGCTGCACTAGGTTCCTTCGCGTTTGGATACCACTTTCCACTTAACATCAGGTGGAGTGGAGTCATTTGCCTGTCATGTATAAAAAAAAAAAAAAAAAAGCGCGAGATCCCTATGCGAGAATAGTAGTATCTCGCGCTCTATGTCGCTCTCGCGCTAGTCGCGCCATATCGTACTAGCCCTACAGGTGGTAAGCAAGCGACATGCCTGTTTAGTGTCCATAGCAATTGCAGTTTAAATCGCAAAGATCTGAGGGGTATTGCCACAGTCATCCTGAGACATAAGTTGATAAGACCGATGTGCCTGTAACTTCACCGGCAGCCTTACCCATCAAAACCGGAACCGTTACTTCCCAGTCGATTAAGTCCGTCTGGTCTGCACCAAGGGCAAAGGACAACTGATCGAAATCCGATGACAGCCGAACGCAACACGAAGATTGCCGAGAGATATTAAGAAAAATAGTTGTACTGTACGCGCTCTTTCGACGTCTTTATTCGCGACGTGCGTCTGATAGCTCTATTACCAACATCACTTGACTTAATACGTTTTCGAAGAGTGATGTTTGAGATAAAAACGTGTTATTTGGCTTTTTACGTTTACTTCAAAAAGTCTTAACCATGAACAAAAGATTATTATAAGAAAACACGTCAAAATAAGAAGGATTTCCCGGGTTCAATTCACGGTATTCGGTATTCACGGTCACGAACTTAGTACCCTAGTTTTAGTCTTTAAGGCTTGACTGCATATTTGCATTAATACGTGAAGTCAGTTTCGACTGCATGCAGTTATTACGTAAAGTCGTTATCAACTTCATACAGTTGAGGTCTCGGATAACAACTTCCCGTATCGAGATCGACCGCATGCTGTTATTGCGTGAAGTCGTTACGCATGCAAACATGCAGTCAATCTGGTAGCAGCCCTAACACAGTGTAAACATAGAAGACCGGGTGTAAGTAGGTACGGACACACACATTAGCATAATCTCGTGGTGCACTCGTGTTGCACAGCGCTAGTTCACTATGAATTGCACCGAGCACTTACTTAAGAGTTTAAAAAATGACATCAAGTAGTGGACGTGTTTATCGTTGTATTTATTTATAGTTCTTTGAACAAGAGTACCTCAAATTCAGTATTGCTCAGCATTTGGAGAGTCCTGAAAAAGAATGATCAAAGGCACTTGAGGAAAATTATAGGAAAAAATTAGTTTTTATTTCGGAGATTTTTTAAATATTGATGAAAAAGACGCGCAAATACCTGAAATAAAGTCAATGCTGACATAAATGTATGTAACGCTACGTAATCCATTTTCACTTTCTTACCACTTTAGTCGCAAGCATTTTTATTACTTAAAAAAAGCTAATTTTTCTGGACATTGTTGAACTGTATTAGACTTTTTCTGTTATAGACAAAAAACTGGATGAACTGGATAGCGGTATTAACTCAAAGCGGGTTTTAAGTGACTTTGAATCATTATTTCCCTGGTCGTTTCATTTAACTTCTACTTCATAATCATACTCATGCAATCGAGATACCAATCCGCGATACTGGTATTAAAATATCAATATAATATAAATACTGCATTTGACAAAGGTTATTGCATTATAGTAAAGTTTTTTCTAATGATTTTTACAATCTGTAGGTAGGTCAGGGTTAGTTTAGCAATTTCGCGCTTAGTCCATTACGTCTTTTAAAAGGTGCATCAGATTTATATTATTGTATACGCAAACGTGTTCAGAAAAAACAATCTATTTCAGACGTTTTTTGAAATTGCCACTTTGCTCATTTAGCCCCGTCCTACCCTAAAGCTAAAGAAATAATGTCACAATGACAACCCTACGCTCTGAACAGGCGGGTGTTGCACTACTCAATTTATCATACTGTGAATGAAGTCAAGTGACAGGTCTGTGACAACCCTGTACACTGGCTGATCTGGGGTCAGAACCTGAACTTGTAGGTAACTGTGCGCGCACAAGTTATAGTGCCTTTTTCGTATGCCCTAATGGTCTGTAGGAAGGGTCATTATAATCAAAACCAATGTAGAAAGATATTGGGGCTATATCTATTCGGTCACTCGTCTGAGTGAGAACAGCGAAAATCACAGTGAAGAGCCGGCCTGCTGGTGACGACGACACATCAATATTCGTCGCATAATCACAAAACTGTCTTCAATATAATTTTCAATTCTGTCGCACAACAAAACGGAGACATAATTAATGCGTCGCCATGCGTGCTACGTAATTACGTGCATTGAATCCTTTGATTATATTCATGTTCAATGGCTTATGAAGATTTATTGAGCATGTCTTTGATGGTGTGTCAACGTGTCACGTTTTGAGGGTACTTTCGATTTCTTATGCCCTGGTACTTTATATAAGGTTTCTGTGAATATAAATGACACATATAAATTTAGAAGCAGTAGAGCTCCTTGTGATAAGTTTATTCGAGGACGTACTGCCACCTTAAGTATGTCTGCCGATTTTAAAGGGTACGGATGCTGGTGAAATTATAGGCACGTAGTTGTGGTTAACTTGGGTCAAAATCAAAATCAAAATCAAAATTATCTTTATTTCGTAGGTCAGCAAATTACACTTGAAATCGCCACATTTATTTTATGTAATCCCTCTAGAGTAATACCCTCTCTTTAGTAATGTAGCCTTTGCATAATTCTTGAACTTTTCAAGGGAAAGGCCCAAAACAGCTTATAGTATAGAATACCTTGCCTCACAAAAGAACCGAGTTCCCTCTGAAGTCTTAACTTCGGTAACACAAGTTTCTATTTATGCCTGTTATTAAAATTACGTCACTTCGTTTATTATGTAATTCATTATTCAGACGCATAAAAGTATAGAATTGTGAAGAAACTGTGATGCAGTTGTCAATACGCCATTTTCCTTAAAAATCTCCCTGAGTGTGGTATATGAGCTTGATTTGTAGTTTACTCTAACCGCACGCTCTGCCGTAATGCCGTATGACATTATACTACGAAAGTAACTGAAGTAAAGGATTCTGGCTGTATCAACGTCAGTAAGTTGTCTGACTTTCCGTATGATATAAGCTGCAGCACTAAGCCTTCCAGCTCGTGTTGAAATATGTGGATTCCATTTGGTGACCGCCGCATTGACAATGTCCCTCAGATCTTTGTGATTTAAAGCGGCACTGCAATTGCTACTACCACAACTGCTAATACCATTTTAACTCGTTCTTTCAATTATTCTTACCTTTGCAACACTGTCAAAGAATCGCGATGCTTATAAATTTGATTACAGATCTGGTTTTGTGAAACTACATTGTTTTATACACTTTTATTTTTTCAGATGCTGTGAGAGCGCTAATGACTGCTGGCGACAGATCTACGCTTGCTTGATAATGGTAAGAACCAGTCTTAGGTAATTTTTTTATAATAAATTTGTAAAATTGCTTCTGTTAAAACAGGGAAATACTGTCTTCCTTATTATATCTTTAACATTTGTATGTTTATTTCGACTATATTTAAACTCTATTCACTATTTTATTAATGTACTTTGTCTATACCGCTTTTTGGTAATTAAATATACAAAACATTACTAACGTTCCTTTGAATACCATTGACCTATTTATTGTGTTAACGTAACGGGGTCTAACAATAATTAGACCCTTAAGGACAGTATTATGGTACAGCTATGTGTGGTAAGAAGTTTTTTTTTTATACAAAAATAAGTGCGCATTTGATCTCCATCTCACGTGATAGCAAGTGACGATGTGGTCGACGATGTAGCATGCACGTCAAAGGTCCAAGTTATAGCATTCGCGGAATAAGTCCGCAGGCAGGGAATAATTTATTAATATAAAATGTGGAAGCGAAACGTTTTGAGCGAATTCTGGGAATATATACAACATAGAAGTGGAACCCCAGCCCAAGTCTGGTCCCCTGGTGATGGAAAGTATTGTTTTAGGTTAAAAATTGGTCCTCGCTTCGCCAATTGCCACGGTTTGCACTTGGAAATGTAGGTAAATTGGTTTCACAATTAAACTTGTTTCCACGCGGAAAATCATCTTAAAATTTAAGCTTTTCCTTACAATGGTGTTACCCCATCGTATTTTAATTAAGTTAAAAACACCCTCTGCATACAATCTGCACTTATAAGGAGCTCCGAAAATTGAATCGACAAGTGTACGCACTTGACTGAAGCCTCGAGGGCGTTGCGATAGAAAAGTGTAACGTGGTGGCTTCCGTAAAAAACGTAGGAAGATACATTATTGCTCCTTGAGGGATTCGGTTTACTCCTTTTGTGTGTTGGGACGATCGAAAAGTGCTTAACATTGACATAAACGAGGCGTTTTGATTCATTTTTCGTACCTATATTTGATGGAATTTCACCTATGGGATAGATATTTGTTAGGAGATACATCGCATTTTTTTTTCTTTAGAATTTAATAATGGTTCAATTTTCTTAGCTAAATATAGTCCTACAAAACTGTTATAGTATACAGTTTGATTGCAGCATCTAAACTAGTGTCAACTGAACAAAAGATTACAAATTCACACTAAGAGCGCTTGCACACTGCGTCCGATCCGTATCTGGGGATCTACTTCTTTTATATAAAAACCCGACTTCAAAAGTTCGTTGACTATTTGGCAAATTTCATTGAAATCGGTTACCGGGAAGTGCGCGAAACCAGACTCATCCCCTAGTTTGCCACCCTTAGAGGTGGAATATTTTCGTCAAATTTAAATGGGACCAATACAGAGATACCCTCTTTTCAACAAAAAAGAATCATGAAAATCGGTTCACAAACTTGTCGCATAACCGGAGTTATCGTGTAACACGCTTTTTTGAGACGTCTCGCCAATTCAAAACAAAAATAAAATGTCTCTCTCCGTCGTATTTTTCATATTTTTGTAATGGTAATGCATATTACTAGTGCTGCGGCACATAGATTCGTTTTTACTTTTGTAGTCGAGCTTTCTGTAAATTATACATTTTTCTTTATCATTTCCACATCAAATGCCGCCAATTAATTTGCCAAGCATCTTCTATAAAGTATATGTACGTAAACCTGGAATCGCCCTGTATTCTAGCGGGTTTTGGTAGCTTCATCAGGATGAATCGGTAGATTATGGCTTTGTTCGTTGGGAACGTCTTTTAGGAGGAATTCGGCGGAAGCTTGTCTTTTTCTGTTCTACACGTCGACTCGAAAGGTTCCAGATTTCGTATCTTCGGCTGTGATTTATCCCATTAGGGGCATGGTCCCCCAATGTGTTATTTTTCCATAAAAGTGGGGAATGATGATGATGCCGTAATTTTGGGTCCCCGAACCCACTACAAAATGTAAAACCCGTGTCATCGGACCACATGGGTTTTTTTTGTACCTTGTAAGTTCAAGTTTCGCCGTTAATTAAATGGCTGAAACATAATCGCCGTAACTTTACATTCGCGGCGAGTCTGGTATGTAACCTAAAAGTGGATACAGTAACCTGCAGGTCAGTGACGTATAAGTGTCACGTCCGTGTCACACCAGTACTTTCAAAAACTCTTAGTGCAGTGTATTAGCTCTAAGTGTGCTTAAGGTTAACCGTTTATATGTGTAACTAGTAAAAACTAAAGTCATATATTGAACCTCGAAATGTAACCACGGGAAATTAAAATCCTAGCTGCATTTTTGGCCGTGGACGTTATGATCTGCCGAAGTTCTGATTGGGCTGAGGTTCAACCTCTATGTTGTGGATATTCCAAGTATTCGCACGAAGCGAACAGCTATGTAGTGAAAATCCCTGCCTGCAGACCTATACCCAGTAGGGCTAGCATGGCACGGGGTAACTAGAGCGACGTCATCATAAAACGCGAAATATTTCTATGTTGCTCTCACGCAAGTTGCACCTCTATCGTGCTAGCCCTGTGACGGTGTGACCTTACACCGTCATCTCACCTCTTTGTATCGCCTCTCTCCTCTTGTATCTTATAATTTTTTTATTTTACTTGTATTTTAATTTTAAATTTGAATTGTTCCATCTTCCTTCACTTATAGCCTTATAGCCTTGACCTTGATTTTCAAGAAATTAAAAAATGTCACATCTTACTCTCTTCTCTACTTTCCTCTTACCCCATTAGAAAAAATAAAATAAAACCATATTTAACACACATGTGAAAGAGTTGTAACCCTAACTAGCCGTGAACAGGTTCACGGCAATGAAATGGGAAACTTCCGGTCCACAAAATTTATTAAAGAAGTAAAGTTTTAAGAAAGGGCTGCAACAATTAAAAGGTAAATGTAAAAAAACAGGTATAACAGTATAAAACACTCCCTACACTTTATCATTAAGGCACTTACCCCTAAATGGGCCGCGAAATTGAATTATAGAAATAGATACATAAAGGCTGTAGACTTATAAATTATTACACATGATTAGCTTATTAACGGCTCAGACTGCTGTGGCGGCCGAGCTGGGAGTGACCGTGGTACGAAAACAAAATGAGAAAGTGAAGGAAGATGGAATAATTCAAATTTAAAATTTAAATACAAGTAAAATAAAAAAAAATGATAAGATACAAGAGGAGAGAGGCGATACAAAGAGGTGAAATGACGGTGTAAAGGTCACACCGTCACAGTCCTACTCAACGCTATAACTTGGGCCTTTTCAAGGCAAGAGTGAATAGACATTGTTTAGGTGTGACCCCTATATGACCCCTTTCAATCATAATATGAGGTGAAGATTAAAGGCACGCTTATTTTTTTATAAACAAAAAGCTAAAACGCGATTAGGCGGCTGACAAAAGCTAAAAGAATTAAGTATTAATGTTAAACATTCTTTTTAACTTCCGATACAAATCTGTAAAAGCAGGTATCAGAAGTAAATTTTCAGGGTGTTCGGTAAATAAAGTCTTTGGAATCCACTTAGTTCCTGCCCCTCACGTAGACTTGCCTTTTTTCAATCCATTAACCTGAATTGCATCACTTTCTTGTAGTGCTGTGAATTTCTCTTTTTCTCTCAATTGCCTGAGAGTGGCTCTTATCAGTTGAACGCTATTTTAGTAATGTAGTCTGGGTCAGTAACTTTTCTACTAACAAAAGAATACGAAATAGCCCTTCGTGACACAAGAGAGCAAGATATTTTATTTACGATCACATCGACTATTGAATCCAAAGCAAAGCGAACATTTCTAAAGTATAATCACGAGGGTTGAGAAGGATTCCAAAATAGAATCCGTGGATTCAAATTATTTATAGGTTTTAATCCAATTATGCCATTTTTATAAAAAAAATAAACCAACAAAAGTCTTTAAAAGTACATCTATTTGCCAAGTTTTATTGAAAACGGTTTACGGAAAGTGGTTGAAATTCCATAAATCTGATTTATCCCGTAATTTCCTACCCTTACAGGTGGAATATTGTCTTCAAATTTAAATGGGACCAATACTGAGGTACCATCTTTCCAACAAAAAAGGAAATCATCAACATATTAGTTCACAAATCGCGTAACATACACACAAAAAAAATGCGATCGAAGTGAGAACCGCCACCTTTTTTTAAGTTGGTTAAAAATTATGACGTATATTTATTATTAGACAACATCACATACGTTGCTCCGATCCCAAACTAAGTAACTAAAGCAAATCGGAAATAACTACGGTACCACAAACACCCACACCAGAGACAATATAGAAAAGTCAGTTTTTTCTACATTGACCCGGTCGGGGATTGAACCTCACAGATACAATGAAAACCGGTGTGCAAGCTTCTCGATCACGGAGGTAAAATAAAGCATTGTTTAGAGCGGTTACACGGCGATTTTAGCAGCGATGCAAACGCGATTTTAAACAGCGATGCAACCGCGATGCAAGCGAGCGACTGCATCGATACAAACGCGCGATTGCATCGCTACACTTGGGATTTAATAGGTGATCGTATCGATGCAATCGCGCAATTCACGAACTTGCGTTTGCATCGCTGCTAACAGTCGCCGTATGTAATCAATCTTTAACTTCATATAGGTATATTTTTGAAATTTCAGTTGCTTTTGTTGTCATTGAGCTTGTAACTACAGCTAGCGAGAGTTAGAATAGTGTGCTGGGTAATCTTGATTAAGATGTTGACATATTCAATTGTAATTGAATGCGCTAAAGCGTAAACTCATAGACTGTTTATTGAATAATTCATGTCTCTAGCGACGCAGCTATTGGATTGTCTTCTATAAGTGCTTTTTTGTATATTGTTCTTATTTAGTCCTCTTGTACTGTGACGGGTACTTGTAATTGGCCGTAATGTCTTTTACATACTTGAGGGCCGGCCACATGCAGCTGGAATCCCGTTTCGAAATTCCGATGCGGAATTTGAAATTTGACTTAGCACACACATACAGTAACTATTCCGTTCGATTTTTTTTCCAATTC